CCTTAATTCCTACGACTGGACTGAGTTCTGCCTTAGTTCGGATGTAAATTTTTCGCACTGCAAATCTGTACGAAATTTTTCAATCCGCTTATATCTCGTTTTGTCCCCGTGAGAAAATTATTAATGTTGGGGATGAGATTTTGCTACCCTTACCCTTTCGTCGCAGATTGCGCGGACAGTATCGACGGTTCCATCTTCAGAACGATGTTTCTGTCCTGCCTTTTATTGGTGACATTTTTGATCGAGCTAAGAGATTATCTGAAGAAAAACAGCTAGCCGAAGAGGTCCAGTTTACCGAAAACCATTCGTTAAATGTCTCGAAACTTTTCGCTAGAAAAATACGAACTCATAGAAAGACGCAGCATCCCATCCTTCGAGACGCTCTCGGAAATCCCATAGCTGATGCCCAGTTAACCGCTGATAGCTTCAATGATTTCCTGTCCAAAACGTTTATTGAAGACTCGACCACTCCGCTTCCGATCATCTAGGCATTGACCGGGGCAGTTCTAGAAAGTATAATTTTCATTCTGGGGGATGTGACTGATGCGATTCGGCGTTTTCGTCAATCTTATAGTCTAGGTCCTGATGGTGTCCCAGTAAGCATTTTAAAAGCGGACGCAAACACTATCTTCCCATCCCTCTTATGCAAGATATTTAATTTTGCTTTCGAAACTGAAACTTATCCTACCTTGTGGAAGGAGTCAAACATTTTGCCCATTCCTAAGCACGGCAAATCTACATCATTTGATGACTTTTGGCCAATAAACACCCTCCCCGCAGTTTCGAAGATCTTAGAGACATTGATCAAGGATAAGATGATGTGTCACTTAACCGTGAATAATTTACTGAGTGCTGCTCTGCATGGAGTCCTCAAAGCTCGATCTTGTGACACCTATCAACTCTCTTTCTTTGACTATGTTCTCCATTCTAGGGACAATGGTTTTGCACTTTAAACTGTATATTTTGATTTAACTAAGGCTTTCGATCGTGTTGACCATGCTCTTCTTCTCTTGAACTGTCCTCTTTCGGAATAGGTGGCAAACTTTTGAATTTTATATCCTCTTACCTGGGCACTCGTACACAATGAGTTAAGATTTCCAATACCATTTCGAACCCCACACGTGTGAGGAGTGCAGTCAGTCAGTGTATTTGAGGTAAATAGGCTTACGCCTTTGAACTCCCTATTTGTACATAAAAAATCTATAAAAGAGCAAAAATGTGAAGAAATTACAGCATTAATTATGTATGTATGTATGCATGTATGTATGTATGTATATTGAAGGGTTACATGCAGAGCCCTTGATGACACTATTTATGTACAGTACTTTCGCAGATTCATACTCAAAATAAAATAAAATTGCAGGCATTTAAAATATGATTGGGTCACAGTTCAATCGTAGTCACAATGTAGTGCATGGAGTCACCATAAATTAGTTCGGAAGATTGTATATGACAGATTTTACAAAACTGGCTGTGCATAGTCATGCTGTACAAGCCGATTGCTGTCGAAAACTAGACGAGCAAGTTTTCTTTTAAACACACAAACTGTATCAGCCGTCACTATCTCGCTTGGAAGCGAGTTCCACGGCCTGACAACCCGCTGGCTGAATGAAAATTTTCGTCGGTCTAAACGCGTGCGCTCATTCCCGACTTTGTATGCATGGCCGCGTAGTTGGTTTGTACGGGCGAACTCACTCTAATTTTCATCGATGAGATTATTCATCAAGCCCTTATTTACTATTTACACTGTCTCACCCTTTCATCCAATACGAGCGCTACCCTTTAATCTCACTGTCAACGCGCCCATCATCTACCCCATTTATCTGACCTCTGACCGACCTCAGCTAATTATGTCCAACGATTCTATCAGCCAGCCAGTAGCCGGCATTCACACATTTGACCTGCCATCCGTGTGGCTCGGTGACATTGCGTTGAGGATGCGCACTGTAGAGTCACTATTTTGTGGCAGCTCTCCCAATGGACATCGCCACCGACCTCCGCTACATCATTTATTGCTCGCCCACAGAAGCCTCTTTTACTGCCCTAAAGGAGGCTCTCATTTCCCGCATTTCCCAGGTGAAGGACAGGTGAAGGACATACCAATGGGTTCGCCGATTTCAGGATTCATTGCCGAGGCGGTCCTGCAACGGTTAGAGTAGCTGGTCTTCCAACACCACAGACCGAAATTCTGAGCTCGGTATGTGGATGATACCTTCGTCGTCATCGAACGGGATCAGGTGTTGACTTTCCAAGAACATCTCAACACCGTCTTCCCGGACATTCAATTTACGATGGAGGAGGAAGAGAACAACCAGCTGGCCTTCCTGGATGTCCTCGCATGCCGCAAAGATTGTGGTGGACTAAAGGCCAAAGTGTTCAGAAAAGCAACGAACACGACGCGAATTCTGAACTTCAACAGTAACCACCCAATCTGCTACAAACGCAGTTGCGAAAGAACGCTATTTCGGCGGTTTGAGACGCACTGCAGTTAACCGGAAGACAAGGTTGCGAATCCCAATATCTTCGACGGGTTTTCCGAGAAAACGGTTACCCGCACAACTTCGTCAACCAGTGCCTGCGCAAAAGAGCTACGAAATCGCGCCGAACCCAAATTCTGGTGAGCGATCCCGTACATCAAGAACGTTACTGTTGAAGTTCAGAATTCGCGTCGTGTTCGTTGCTTTTCTGAACACTTTGGTCTTTAGGCCACCACAATCTTTGCGACAGACGATGACATCAAGGAATGCCAGCTGGTTATTCTCTTCCTCCTCCATCGTGAATTGAATGTCCTGGAAGACTCTGTTGAGACGTTCTTTGAACGTTAGCACCTGATCCCGTTCGATGACGGTGAAGGTATCGTCCACATACCGAGCCCAGAATTTCGGTCTGTGGTGTTGGAAGACCAGCGACTCCAACCGCTGTAGCACCGCGTCGGTGATGAAACCGAAATCGGCGAGCCCATTGGTGTTCCCTTCACTTGCTCGTAGATTGTTCAGTCAAACGTGAAGTACGTCCTGAGACAGAACTTTAGGAGCTGAAGGACTTGGGCATGTCCGAGACGATTCTCCGTTACATCGTATTTGTATCGTAGGAGTAGCTGAACGGTCTCGATTGCCAGATCCTGGGGGATAGAAGTAAAGAGGGACGTGACATCAAAAGATACCATGACCTCATTGGGCAAGAGACTTACTCCTTTAAGCTTCTCCAGGAATTGCGTTGACGAACAGACCGTGGTGTCCGAATCAGCGGTCAGAAATTTGAGGCGCCGAAACAGCCATCTTGCCAGTCCGTACGTTGGAGTGACTTTGAGCGAAACAATGGGCCGGAGAGGAGCGCCCTCCTTGTGCACCTTTGGGAGACCATAGAATCGGGCCAAAGCCGTTTCTTGGGCTTTAGCCACGCGTCGGTCGGTCGCTGTTATTGCACCCGAGTTCTCCAGTGCCAACAGTGTTGCATTAATTTCGCGTGTCAGCGTTTTAATGGGGTTGGTTTCACATGGGACATAGAACTGGCGATCCTCCAGTAGGTTTTTGGCCTTCTGAAGGTAGTCCGTTCTGTCCAGTACGACGGTGGAACGCCCCTTGTCCGCGGGCACAATGACGATGTCCTTGTCGGCCTTGAGTTCTCTTAGTGCATCGCGTTCGACCTTTGTGAGTGTTTCGCGCGGTTTGTGAGTCATAAGGAGGGACGTAACTTGGTGTCGGATAAGGTTCTTCGTCTCCTCCGCCGCTTCCGTCTGATGAATGACCGATTCCACTGCTGCAATCATGTTGACAGGTTTGGCGTCAGCTGTGTTGAATGAGGCTTCGTGCCGTAAAATCTGTGCTTGCTCCTTCGTCAGTTCCTTTGACGACAGGTTGTGTACCAGTGTGCCGCTTCTGGATGACGTTGGATCAGGCAGTTTGTGGAATTTGTGCCCCAGTGCTGCATCGCGTGTCGCTCTCTGCTCGTGGGCTCGTTCAGTCACTTTCTGCTGAAGCAGATTTGTGCCGTTCTCGCCCATGAACTCGCAGCATCTGGCCTTTTCTTGGTCAATTCTTTGACGGTATTTGCGTAGTCTCGCATGGCAATCTTGAAAGAGCACGCGGATCATACGTCTTCCGTGCTGAAATACTGCGCGTCTCGCTAGCTCCATGTTTACCGGAGGTTTGTATGAAACAAACTTCGGCAACACGTTGTTATCGAGACATCTGTGCAGAAACCGGATCTGCGCGTAAGTAGAGGCCGGTCGAAGGGCGAAAGTTTCCCGAGACAAAGCGAGCGAGACGAGCGACAAAATCGCGCCGAACCCAAATTCTGGCGAGCGATCCCGTACATCAAGAACGTCTCCGAGACCGTTAGCCGACTTCTTGCACCACTTGGGGTTGGAGTTGCGCACAGACCGGAGGCCACCATGAGGCGTCAAGTGATGAGACCAAAAGACCCACTGCCACGGCAAGAAACATCTGGAGTCGTTTACCGGATCTGGTGCAGTTGCGGACAAAGCAACTTCGTCGGAGAAACTGGAAGACTGCTCCGGACGCGAATCGCCGAACACGTGGCAGCTGTACGGAGAAATGACGCCAACTCTCAGGTCGCGGCCCATTCGACGAGACCCGGCCACACATTCAAGTTCGATGAGGCCGAAATTCTCGCGAGAGGGGATAATCGCGTGAGCCGCGAGTTGCTTGAGTCATGGTTCACGGGACCTCAGTCTATCAACAAGTGCAACGACATCCCCACTCCATATTCTGTCCTGAGACATAGACTTACCAAAGCAATTGACCACTTGAGGAGCGCGCAAGCACGTGAGGCAGATGGCCGAGCAATCATCACGCCAGCATTCAACACGGGTGATGAGATGTCAGCAATTAACAACTTGCATGCCAGCCATCAAGCAATTAGCGCACCAGCGGGCAACAATCCTTGATGAAGGGAGCACGGTTAATTGCTGTAGGTATGCGGTAGCATGGCGACCGCATCCTATAAATACTGCGACTTCCTGTATACTAACCACCCTATTTGAAAAGATAAGTGAAAGTTATAATTTTGGATTTAATTTCTTAATCCCTTGCACATTTTTAGAGTGTAGACCTGACGAAATTTTCTATTTTTGTCATAAGTCTTCTTCGCTTCCTGTCGTGTATCTGCGATTTGTCATAAAGCAGACATCTATTGTCGCAGTTTTTCACCCAACATAGCCTCAATCCTATCAAGTCTTACCTGCATAAACAAAAGGATTTCCTCGTAAAAATATAGACTAACATTATATTTTAAACGATAAACCGTCTCCACTGACAGCTTTCATCGTCAGTTTATTGAGAATTATACTGTTATCTATTTTATCCTACATAGCCTCATTATCCAATTTAGATTTATTCATAGTTCTGTTTTACCACCTACGCAATTGTCATTTGCCCGTTTTTTTTCTAGTTTGCATTCTGGTATTGAGTAAAACTTGCTTAGTATAAATTGTGCTGTCTGGTCCACCAATATTTGCAGCTTTCATAAAT